TACCAGCTCTGTCACTCTGTCCATAGCCATGTGTCTTAATTTCTCTGAGCCTCACTTTTCTTGTGTGTAAATGCAGATACCAGTATCAATTGAGATGATCTATTAACCAGTCAGTACATATTGCTGAGCACTTACTGTAGGCCAGACCCAGCTTAGAGACTGGTGATAAAAGCAGTGAATGAACTAGACAAGACTACTGTTGTGAAGCTTGTATTTAAAGGGGGTTATAAACAATAAAAGCAGAGACCCATCCTGTGATATCAAATAGTGTTTAGTGCCCTGAGGAAGGAAAAGCAGGGTAAGTGGCAGAGAAAGGTCCCTATTTTAGAGAAGGTGGTAAAGGACGGTCTTTCTGAGGAAGTAATCTTTGAGCTAATACCTACAGAAAATGAGAAACTGTCTTATAAGTGCCTGACAAAGACCGTTCAGTCTAGGGGCTAGCACATGCACAGGCTACAGGCAGGGGCTAGCACATGCACAGGCTACAGAATTAGTGTTCTTCTGTTGTGACGAGATCTGAGGACTGGCTCTCATGACCTTGCACCTTCCTCCTTCTGTCCCCCTACCTCTGGCACTCATGCTGATCTTGGTGAAAAAAATTTCTGATGAAAATAAATTCTGGCCCAATCTGGCTGAAAAATTCTGGCCACCTCTGTTAGGAATGCTGTGCTCAAAGCAGGGATTGGGACAGCAACCCGGGAGAGGAAGGATTTGACCACAGCTGCCACCCTTCACCTACTGTCTTCAGCATCATAACCAGGGAAGAAGTAAATTAGGGCATTTCCACCTTCACGAAGTACCCCACAGACACTTATCCTGTATTCAACAATAACCCCAGCCCCAAGTGCATAACATCAGCACACGCATTTTTAAGTTCAAAAAGGAAACATGTTCCTATAGTTTGGGGGAGATCTGGTTCTTCTAACCATGGGGGAAAAGGAGGGACCCTCCATCTGCTGCTGTTGTGTTTATAGAAGAGAGCTCAGTCAGGGAGCCCTCCTGCCTTACCCTTCATTTGGACCACATAATTTCACAAGGGAGGAATCCGAGCTCCCCCAACTCACTACTTAGACATACAAACACACCCCCCACACCCCTGGATAAGCTCTGGGGAGTGTGAGGCAGGCTGCACAGCCACCCTCCTGGAGGCGAGGCCCAGCCAAACCTTTTGGGACCCCACCTGGTGAACTCTGTCTTGGGTCTGACCTATTTTCTAGGAGAGAAAATAGAATATAGATTTAAATGCAGTGGTGCTCTGGAAAACTACAGGCCCAGCAGTGTGAGAAAAGAAAACAGTAGGGGGGAGCAGAGGAAATGCTGATATGGGTGAGGACGCCGTCTCTCCTGGATCAATCTTAGCTGGTCATCAACTGCCTTTTCTTCTGCAATTTGCCCCCATTTTTCTCCATTAAAAATTGATATATCTACACGAATTTACATATTTATCTTTCCTCTGACCAGTCCTGGGGCTCAGTGCTCCTCCCCCAGACATAGACTCCAGGCTGAAGACCGTTAGTAAGCACAGACAGAGGGAGCTCTGGGGATGGTCACCCTGGAAGTGGGACAGCAGCAAGGCATGGAGTCAGAAACACCCTCAGCTGCATCCTAGATCAGCCTTCCTTGCCTGTGTGACCACAGGAAAGACTTTTAATACTCTTGTCCTCTCATATATGAAGGTAATAAAATTACAAGCTAATGTTGAGGGCTTTCTAAAGGTAGGTACTGTTCCAAGCTCTTCACAACCACCCTAGGAGGTAGGGACTATTATCATACCGATTTTACAGATGACAGAACTGAAGCACAGAAAGATCTAGTAGCTGACCCAAGGTCTACACAGCCTATAGACCCAGAGCCTGAATCCTGGCAATCCAGCTGTGGATCTCGCTCTCTGTGCCAATTGCTATGGCCTGGCCGGAGTCACATGGCCACACTTAGAGCTAAGGTGGGGTCATCTTTACCAAGCCGCATGGATTAAGGGTGGGAAAGGGTTCCCCAAAGGATAGCTGGGACTTGTGACACAAAGAAGGGGTAAAGCATGGACAGACAGTATAACAGGTGAATATGGTTGTGGTTCTGATTCCCTCCTGCCCCTGTCAGGCTTTGCTATTTCATTCTGTTGGTCAGAATTGAATGTGGAGATTCAAATTACTCACTGCTTCTTGGGACAGGGGCCAGGTTACACTATATGTCTCTATTTCATGTTAGACACAATGCTCAGAACTGCCTCCAGCTCACTGACACAACTAGAAACTGAGGCTGGACCCTGACCCCTCACTGAAGGAGGTTTTTCTTGGTGTTCTTGTTGCCCCTCTTTGGCAAGAAGAGATGCTGTATATTTTATGCTCAGGGCTAGAACTGAGTCCAGTTAAAGCTTTAGGAGGGAATGGAATTTTCTTGGACCCCTGTTCCTGTTCTCCTACAACCTTTTAATTCTTCCTTGCCCTACTTCCCACTGAGGAGGAGGATGGGAGGAAAAAGACCTAAGAGATGGGAGGGCTGGAACAGATCTCTTCATTCATAAGCAGAAAAGTTGAACTGAAATCACACACACACACACACACACACACACACACACAGCCTTAATTCCTGTAGGCTCTTGGTGTTTCCAGGGAGCCTTCTGGTCAACATTTCTTGATAATTCTGTCTGTGGTCATTCAAATTGGTAACAATCAACACAGGTAATATTTATGCAGTGTTTGCCTTGTACTGAATTAAATGCTTTAAAAGTATTTAATCTTCTAACACTGCCATGAAGGAGGTTCTGTTCTCTTGCCTTTGTATAGCTGAGGCAAACAACTCAAAAGTTCTGTGATTGACCCACAGCCTTTCAGTAGGCTGGGATTTGAACCCAGATCTGTCTGTCTGCAGAGTTTAAGATTATAAACACAATGTTCAAATGGGCAACTTAGTTTTGAAAGACCTTTGGAGTTCCATGATATCCTGCCTCCCTTGGGTGTTGGTGCTTCCAAGAGCATGTTTCCATGAACAACAGTGTTCAAAGTCCCACCACTGAACTCCCCCACATGTAAATAGTTTGATATCCTGCTTAATGAAAGGGTATTCTAACGACCACTATTCTAGCTGTCCATCAGTCACAGTTAATTGCCCTGCTTAGTTATTTATACAGAGTGTTTTCCCTTCCCATCTCTTCTATTTTGCCACTTTTCTTCTTGCTGCCACTCTACCCTGAATCTCAAACAACTCACCAGAAAATCTGAAAGGGGGTGTGGCTGAGAAATGATTCAGAGCTCTCTAGAAGTCTCTTTGGGCAGATACAGCTTCTAGGGAATACAGGGTGTGGGCTGGAGAAATGCTTAGCTGTTGCTGTGAATTTGCCCCTCCTGGATTTGGGGGCACAGCTCTGTTAGGTCAGCACCTGGATTTTCCTGGGGCAAGAGTTCTAGTGTCGATGGATCTTGCTGAAGCTTGATAAATCTGATTGCAGCAAATTAGAGGCACAGTAAATAAAACCCATGACTTACTCACAGGGTAGCTAAGAGGGTCTCCTCCATGGTTCCAGGGTGCTCACTTTAGCTACGAACTGAATTTGGGTCCCCTATGCCTCTGAGGAACGTGGGTTTCCATTGAACAAATGTTGAACTGGGTGGGATTCAAGGGGTCTAGAGTCTTATGTAGTCTCTGTACCTGAACTAAGTGTGTGACCTTGCGCAAGTCTCTCAACCTCATTCATCCCCCCCACATCTTAACCAAAAATGAATTAAGCTAGATGATGTCTGTGGGTATCCCAGGTCTACCATTTTGTGATTCTAAGTGAGTCACCCGGGATTGTTAGGATGGCCAATGGTTTCCTGAAACAGCCCCTTGTTCCATCTCCTCAGAAAGGTATATCCTTTCAGTTTGGGTCTAGAGGTTTGTTTGTTTGTTTAAGATTTTATTTATTTATTTATTTGAGAGGTAGAATGAGAGGAGAGAGCATGAGAAGGGAGAGGTGAGAGGGAGAAGCAGACCCCCTGCTGAGCAGCGAGCCCAATGTGGGACTTGATCCTGGAACTCTGGGATCATGACCTGAGCCAAAGGCAGTTGCTTAACCAACCGAGCCACCCAGGTGCCCTGGGTCTAGAGGTTTTGACAAAGCTCTGGCTTGCTTTCGATTTGGCTTCTCAGCAGGATTCTATCTTACATTTGAGGGGAGGAGGAGGAGATTGTGTTCATGAGGATGACGGGAGTAAACCGCTCTTCATTTTTTGAAAGTTCATTGGCTTAATTCAAATGTCAACCTTCCTAGGGCTGGATGTCTATTTGTAGTTGTGAAAAGTGATTTCGAATGGCAATTCCTGTCATTAATGATGGGGTGAAAAGCAAGAAGAAAAATTAAAGGGGATGCAGAATTTCAATTTGTGTGGCAAATGATCTACTCACACACAATCTCCCGCATACACACTGCTGTCTGTGATGAAGGATGGTCACTGGGAATACTGGAGAGGGAGGGGATTATAAATGTTTTGTTATCGTCTGTCCTTCAGTCCTATGTCGTAAATAATGCTGCAACTTGCTCTCCATTCTCATGCCTCTTTTTCTTTGTTCCTCAAGGAAGTGGTTTATTATTTTTTCTCTCTGCGGGGAAACTTGCTTGACATCATGTCCAGTGTTCTGTATCTGGAGGCAAGGAGGATTTGCTTGGGTGGTGTTATGCAGAAATCAACCAGAATATTTTAACCAATATTCTTGCAGGATTCCAGTCTGCTTGGCCAGAGCCCTATCTGATTCCAGGATGATATCTTTCCGGACAGATGTGCAGCTCACCTCTCTTGCTACATGCACAGTGGAAAGGGAGCTTGGTCCCTCGGCTTGCATGGGTGGTTTTTGGGTGAAGGTAGAACTAAGTGCTCAGAAGCTGAGTACCTCTGGGGTCTTGCATGAACATGATAGTCATGCAAGGGCACATTGCACTGTGTGTGTGTGTACTTCTAACACTCTTCTTCCTTTTTCTCCCCCTTTCTCTCCTCTGCCTTTCCCTCTCTTTGAAAATGCTGCCACAGATGTCAGTCAAGGTCCAGGTGAGTCTCTGTGTTTACACAGCTGCCGTGGAAATTTCCCCTCTGCCAGATTGTGCATGGTTTGATTCTGAGTGAGACCTTTTTCTAGGGGCTCTAAACAGAGCAGAGATCTAAGTACACTGCATTTTCATTGATTTGGGTTGAGAAGAAATGCCTTGAATTGATGTATTCGTATTGGTTTTGAAAACCATTTTAAAACCAAAGGAATGTGATTCCCATGCTTATACAGTCACCTCCTTCTGATTAACATTTCTGGGTGAATCAAAGAAGTGGAAAATGAGCACTTTTGGAAATATTTTTTAAAATATATCCTTAAGATATGAATTCTCCAATTTAATGAGCATTTTTGCCTTATCATATCTAGATCTACTTATCTTCTATAGCTTCATGTGGTTAAAAGTTGAAGATATGACATACTTAGCATGGAAAATATGTGGGTGAAAGAAGTCTTCTTTCTTTTTATTCTAAGAAATGGCTTTCTCCCCACCTCATAATGAAATTTGCAGTTTTTAAATGGTTATGTAACCAATACATGCTCACTGTATTAACAAAAAAAAAAAAAAGAAAAAGAAGAGGAATGGTTTTTGTCAATGAACAAATGGAAGAGCCATTCTTATACTAATTGTGCATTTCTTTTGTTAAAATGCACAATCATCCAGAGTTCTAACCGTAAGCATTATCTGTGTGTCTGTGTGTGCACACACATGTGTACACACATACACACACACAAGCTCATATGAGAGGATACAACCATATATGGATAAAAAGTATCAGATGACTTAGAATGATTTGGAGACTTTTCTAAACTGGATAGAATTTTGATTTAAGAGGAGTAATTAATGCTACCAAGTAAGAAGGGAATATTGTCATTCTCAGCTATTTTCATATACACTTTCTTGTTTAGTCCTTTTAATGTTGAATTCTTATAATATCGATACAAGGTGTAGGTACTGTTATATCCTCCATTTTAATATAGTGGAAATTGAGGGCCAGCAGTCTATGCTATTTGCCCAATGTTATAGGGTTCATCAGTGGTAGCACTGGGATTTGAACTTAGGACTCTGTGACTCCAAAGCCCATGCACACTCCATTGGAACACACTGAAAATTCCATCACTGAAAATTTTCAGCAGTTGAAGGCCTTGTAAACATTTCCTAACTAATGGGACTATTGTCTATTTTTCTTTAGAGATAATATGATGTTCATTATTAGCAGTTTTTTTTTCCCAAATGAATTTATCCTTTTTTTTTTTTTGTTAACTATCTAGAAGAATCAACCAGACTTAAGTAGGGTTTCTGGCCATTGATTTATGTGGTATATTACATAACATAAAAGAATAATACAGTTATCTCCCAGCTAATAAATAGGGTTTCACTGTCTTTGTTTTCTTCTCTCCACATCCTACTTTTGAAAATAAACAGTGTTCTAACTGATGCATAGGACAGCATTTCCTAGGAAGATTCCATTAGATTAATTTTGTATTTAATAATATTTTACTCAAATATTTATTGAGAACCTACTGTGTACTAGGCACTGTTGTAGGCACTAGGAATAGAACAGTGGACAAAATAGAAAACAATCCCTGTCCTCATGGAGCTTTTATTCTACTCAAAGGAAGATAATGAACTATATATACACACACATTATACATATTACATATATGTATGTATTATGTATATTACATGCAAGGGTGGGTGATGAGCACTGGGGAGAAAGATGAAACTGTTAAAAACTAAGTTGCTAATTTATAAAGGAATCTCAGGAAAGGCCTCCCTGTTAAGATGATGTTTTCTGAAATACCTTAAGGTAGTGAGGTAGGAGCCCAACACCTCAAGTTTTGTTTGTAGAAGTGCCAGTTGGCTCAACCCCTCCTCCTCCTGGTTCCTGGCAGAGATGTGACCCAGGGTCCCCGTGTTGACTTGTGTGTGTTGTGGGAATGAAATCCCGCCACTGTGGGGCTGCCTCCAACCAAGGGTAGGGGGGAGGGCGCCATTTTGTAATTCTCACAAAGGCACCTACTGGTCCTGGATGAAACAGTATGGTGGAGTGAAATGCCACAGACACACAGGCTCCTGTCTATCTTTCCAGAGGGGTGGAGGTCAGTAGGTGACACTCCCTCACATCATAGCAACTGTAACTAGCCCCACACAGCCCTGTTCCAATTCCACAGCCATTCTCTCATCTTATTGCCTTAATAACCCTCTGAGGTGTGTCCGCTGAGCCCCATTCTTCTGCTGAGGAAGTTGAGGCCAGGAGGTTAGGTGACATGTTGAGGTCACCCAGACATCCAGGAGCTGGGTCAAGAGGGGCTTCCAGCCTGATTCCATATCCGCCACTCTGCTGCCCTTGAGGTGTCAGGAGCTGATTGCCAATCCTCTATCTCCCCACCCAGCCCCTTGGTTTTTTTGGTTTCTGAGCTGGAAACGGGTCACCAGTTCCGAACTTTTCCCTGGGCCAGGACAGGACGGGAGGCCACTGAGCTGCCCAGCCCGGGCTGAGGTGAACTGCCTCCTCCCGCCTCTCGGAGCCGCCCAGGCAACGCAGAGCCAACAGGGTTGCGACTCTGAAACCAGGTGCCTTGAGTGGTTCTTGGAGTTTTTTCCCCCTTCCCCACAGGAAGACAAATTGGGGATTTTATGAGCTAATGTAACTGTTTACCCAGGGGTGGCCTGAAGGCTGTGAGGGATGATTGATCAATTTTATGTGCTGAGGGTGTCGGTGAGAAGTAACCTACTGGAAGCCGTTGGCGATGGGGGCCCGCAAGAGGCACCTTCCCCAAGGTCCAGGAGACAGGCTGGGGGCACAGAGAGGCTGTGCTAGAAACCCTCAGGAGAAGAGGGGCAGGCCATACCTCCTGCACTTCCATGTGGGAAGACCCACGGCCCCTCCTCCATCTGGTCTTGAGCTGGGAGGTTAGGATAATAGGGTAGCATCAGGCCAATGTGGTGAAGGAGAGGAGGGACACTCCATTCTGATTTAACTCTTCACATCAATCCTCCCAGGCGGGTATTACCATCCTCTCTCAGACGAGAGAGGCCTCAGAGAGGGTCGGTAACTGCCCACAGTCTCCGGCTGCTAGTATGAGACCAGGATCTCACATCCGTCTACCTCTAAAGCTTGTACTCTCTCTCTTTGAAACCCTGGCATTTCCAAGACAGAGCTGTGGGCCAGGGGCGCTGCTTGTCAGGGTCTGCATTCTTCACTTTCTTTACGGGGCGTGGGACATAGTAGGGCCTCAAAAATATTCATTGTGCAGAAAGTGTGGGAACAAGTACCAGGGCATTGTGTGTCCGTAAGGTCCTGAGGCAGCTCAAAAGGACAACTATTTTACTTTTCAGAGGAGAAAACTGAGGTCCGGGGTGGGGAAGGGACATCTACCAAGGCCAGGTAACACATTGGTGACCTGGAAGAGACCCCTGTCAGGCATTTATCACATGCCCCTGGCCCACTGGGATTTGTCACTGGTCTTCCTGTGCTGCCTGGGGTGTCAGTTGTGGGCAGTACCAGCCCCCTCTCTACCATGCTATGCCCTCTGCTCTCTCCCTCTTCTGTGTGTTCCAGAACTCTCTGCCAAGGGGAGAATAAGCCCTTTGGAGGAGAGGAAGGATTTGGGGGGCAGAGAACAGTGCTGGGGCCTGTGGGCCCAAGACCCCTCTCTTCCCCTCCCCCAGTGCCTCTCCCTGCAGCCACGAGGGGCTGCTTCTGGTGCTCCAATGACAGTCTTTCTCTTCAGAAGGGATAATTTCTCAGGCTCTGCCTGCTGATTAGAGCTGGAATTTAAATGAATAACTGTGACCTTGTGGAAGTGCCCTAGTTATTCAGAGGCCCGATGAGGAAATAGGCCTCTTGCTTCGGTCCGTCAGAGCCTTGGCAGGCGTGGGAGGAGGGGCCGCTGTCTGCCAGGGCCCAGAGGAGGTCCCGGCGTGCTGTTGCCCGAAGCAACTGACGGCCTCCGCTGGAGCCTCCCTCTGCCCGCTCTTGATCTCTGCCCTCGGTGTCTTCCCTCTCAGTTTCAGTCATCTTGGGGCTGTCCTGAGAGACTGGACCTGGTGATTTATCCTGAGCCCTGCCCTGTCTCCACGAAGTCCAGCCTGAGGGACGTTGAACTTGAAGTCAGGACGCAGCACTGTTGTGTCTGACTTGTGTGATGGACACAAAGGGTTTGCCCTAGAACTTACCGCTCAGAGACAGACACCCAGAACCACAGCACTGGCCTCACGCAGGAGCTTGTTAGAAAAGCAGAATCTCAGGCCCCACTCCAGAGCTGCTGAGTCAGAATCTGCTTTTTACCAAGACACCCAGGTATGCACACATCAAGGCTTGAGACCCACTGACCTGAAGTGTCCGGCTTTTCCTGCTCTTTGGGGCCATCGGGGCTGTGTCTACTGAGGAAGGCACAGTCCACCACATGACTGCCGGTTTCTCGTCTCTTCTCCTGGGTACACAGCGCAAGGTGGCTCTGGGTACACAGGGGTTGGGAGGGTGACCGGGATTAGGGAAGGGAAAGGGAACGAACACTTCCTGACCACTGAGTCTGTGGCCATCACTATTCTGGCACTTTTCATGTAAGAGTTTACAAAGCGAGGCAGGGTAACTCAGGATAGCACAGGGTTCCCTCAGGGGCTCAGGGGTTAACTCCAACCCGTTGCCTCCTTCTATAGGGCCTTTGAGCTACAGATGGCTTTTCACGTTATAAATAGTTGAAAGCAGTCAAAAGAATAATTTGTGATGCACATATTTTATGAAATTCCGATTTCAGTGTTCATAAAGTTTTATCAGAACACAGGCACGCTTCTTCATTTCTGCTTTGTCTCTGGTTGCTTTGCGAAGGCGGAGTGGAGTAGCTGTGTGGCGAGACGAGTCTAGAAGACTTACCATCTGGCCTGCTACAGAAAAAGTTTGCCACCCCTGGGTTAGAGCATAGACTTGGAGCCAGATGGCTGGGTTGACATCCTGGCTTTCTCCCAGTATGAACAGTAGGTGCTGTTTAAGTTACCTTC